TTATTTTTGTTCACAGTTTGAAAGCTTTCCCATCTATGGTCTTTTAGCCCTGTTGCTTTTGAACCAGTGCTGAAGTCAGTCATGGCAGGAATGTTCTGTGTGTGGAGCTAGTTATCTCATAGTAGCCAGGAAGCAGAGAGAGAGGAAGAGGAGATCGGTGTCCCTATATCCCTTTTGAAGGGACCCCTCAGTCGCACTCCCCCTTTTGAGAGTACTTCAGCAGCCTAGGACCCCTCATGTGGCCCCACCTCTTGTTCAAGCTTCTGTCATCTTCTAATAGTGCCAAGCTAAGAAACAAGCCTTTAACACATGGGGCTTTTGGGGAAATTTCAGCCATCGCACCAGCGCTTCTCCACCTAATCACATAGTGCTCAGATCTCAGCTCTGCCAAAGCATGATCTGAGGCCACTTGTTTTTAGAATATAGAGAAGAGTATCTACATTGTAGAGTTACATCGAATATTGGAGATAACGAGTATAACTATCGGTAGTTTTCTGTTATTCACATAGCTTATGTTTATCAGTAGTTTCCCCAACTCCTCATGTTTACATGTCTAGTTATCCTGGGTGTGGTGGGACAGGACTGTAATCCCAGCACTCTGGGATTCTAGAGCAGGAGAATCACAAGTTTAAAACCAGTCTGGGAAAAAACAAATAAACAAACAAAAAACCAGTCTGGGCAACTTTGTGACTTAGCAAGAGCCTGTCTTAAAAAATGAAAAAACAAGCAAAAAACGGGTTAGGAATATAGCTCAGTGTGAAGTCTCTGAGTTTGATCCCCAGTACCATCCCCCTAATCTGTTTATGATCATCTTGTTAGTCCAGTAACTTCTTTTTTCTTATGAAGTATATTTTGTTAGTGTCAGTCTCATGAATTTGTTCAGACTAGAAATAAGATGAAACATTCTGTCATCATGTCTTTCAGAACCTGTCTTATTGACTCTTCTACTAGAAGCCTGCCATCTACTGACAGACTGGCTATTTATAATAGCAGGCTTATTTCTTAAGTCTTCATTGGATGCCACCTGGTCTTCATAATTCAGTTGCATGTGATTTGCCGATTAGATGTAAAATATTCAGCACATTAGTATAATTTGAACTAATAGCTCTGCTCAGTCTCCTTAAAAGACAGATTGGCAGTACATTTCAGAAGGCTTTTAATGCAATTTTCAGTTTTGGTGGCTGTTTTGGATTTAGGTTTTCATTCACAGTGCATGCTTTCTATTCGTGAATCTTTGAGTTCTTTGCTTTTATCTGACATCATGTGTTTGAGGTTGCATTTTACGAATGAGAACCCTTGCACATGATTACAAATGACTTAGGTTTTATTTTTGCCTTGTGTGTTCCTTAAAATACCAGCTGCTGCTTAGTCAAAAATGTAATTTAGTTTGACTGACACATGAGTTTTAAACTTCCTAAACATGAATATCTTCTCCTTGTTTGTATTTGTAAGACTGTTGGTCCATATGGTAATGTGTTCCTTGATTTAATTTTATTTCTTTATTTTAAAAACCAATAAAAACAACAACAAAACCTTAGAGAAAGCCATGCTTGTTAAGTTTTTGAAAACATGCTTCTATTTTTTTTTTTTTTTGGAGTTCACAATTAAGCTTACAGAATTTCTTCCAACTGTAGTAGTTTCCTAAATCTTCTAAATAAAATAAAGTTTTAGAAATTTTATTATTTTGTTAGAAGAAAATAGCTTTTGTTTTCAGTGAATTGGATTTTTTTTCTTTTGGTACTGGAAATCGAACTTAGGACCTTGCGATTGCCAGGCAGGTACTTATGCCACTGAGCTATATCCCTGGCCCAGAAGAGAATAGCTTTTGATAGTGATATAATTTTGCTTTTTTTTTTTTGAGCTAGGTCTTGCAATGTAGTTAGTTCCAGCTGTCTCTGAGCTCACTTTGTAGCCTAGGCTGGCCTCAAACTCACGGTGATCCTCCTGCCTCGCCTCCCAAGTGCTAGGATTACAGGCATGTGCCACCCTCCTGGCCCAACAAGTGCATTTAGATATATAAAAAAAATATTTCTTCTCAGTTGCTTGGTACAGTTTTAAGAATCTAATGACCTGGCTTGTGATGGCACATGCCTGTAGTCCTGGCACTCTGGGAGGCTGAGGCAGAAGTGATATAGGGGAAAAAAAACTCCCAACCTGAAGATATCAGGGACAAGGTCGTGTTCTCTAAAATCGAAGAATGAATTTTAGGAACAACATAGGTTAAGAGCAGAATATGTTTTTTGAGGGAAGGAAAGCTCCTGTCTGAGAGAGGGACAGAAGAGGGGCCAAGTGGGTTGCCCAGGAACCTGTCTTTCCTAAGGAGGGCAAAACCGCAAGGTGAGGCAGGTCCAAGGTGGAAAATATGGGAACTCGCTAGGTGGGCATGAGGTGGGACAAAACTGTGGTCAGCCAATAAGATTACAAGCATAATTGTTCAGGTAAAATTGATTAAATTTGGATCAAATGGGGAAGCAAGTCCCGTAGTAAGCGGGTATGAATACAGAATAGGGGCCTTTCCTGTAGGGGGTTGGGCTAGTGACTCTTCCTGGCCATTTCAAGGTGATTGCTACCTGTTTAGAATATCAATCCCTGAGTTCCATCTCTAGGGAAGTATGTGGGCACATCTGTTTAATCTCTTGCCCACAGCTGGAGGTATCTGTCTCCCCTACAGTTGCAAGGTATCTCATCTTCTGCATTGGCTCCTTTGAGGGCCTGGCCCTGTCTGACTGCCTATAATATTTTTATCAAACTCAGCTGCCTGTAGCAGAAGGAACACAAATTTGAGCCCAGCCTGAGCAGTTTAGGGACTTATCAAGACCCAATCTCAAAATAAAAATAAAGGGCTAGAGATGTAGCTCAGTATGAAGGCCTTGGGTCCAGTCCCATTTCCAAAAACAAAAACAAAAACAAACCCAAAACCTAATGGTTAGATTCAGTTACACACTTAGCATATTATAAATTCATTCACTTACACTGATGGAACTTCATCACTTGTGAGAGAGAGAGCATCTTACAAAATTGGGGATCACTTTGTCTCTTCTTGCTAGAAAGCTTCATAGACAACTACAGGAGACTTAAGGACCTTCTGAAGGCCATATGGTATATTACAGTATACATAAATGTAATAGATGGCTCTATACAAGATCTTGAAGAAAAATGTTTATTAATAAAGACTGATACACTCTAAGCAAGGGCAATTGTTGTGGATAGAACTAGCAGGTAGAACAGGGCACAGGACAGTGCCGGCTTTATTCCTGGAGATGATGTGGAATTTGAAGACCTGATAGGCATTTAGAAGACAAACCCGTTCTAAGCAGAGACGATAGTATGAGCAGATACATAAAGCAAGAAAGCATTGGACCCACTCAGATCCCATGAGTACAGTGATCCCCATAAGGATGATAACGGCTTCTGCTTCCCTTGTGAGTTCTGCATTGTGCCTGACACAAAATGTCTTGCTCATAATGCAAACTCAGCGAATACTTGTAGAATTGAGCTACAGTTTTAACTGTTATGGTTCCTGAGACCACTTTTCTCTGTGTCCTAAAATGGTACATTTATGTTCCCATATAAAACCTTGTACAGTGAAAAAAAATTGTGTACTTTCAGTGAAGATTAGCTTAAAAACAATTAGCTTTAAAAAGAAATTTAAAACATATTTTAAATAACTATTAAGACCAATCTCATTTTATATTTCTTAAGTTGTGTCTATGAAAAAAGATGCCTCTTGGATATGGAAAGAAATATTTTTCTTCAGTTACTTGGTTAGCTTTTGGGAAACAGTTAAAAATGATCATTTAGCTGGGTGTGGTGGCATAGGCCTGTAATCCCAGCACTCAGGAGGCTGAGGCAGGAGGATCATTGTGAGTTCAAGAACAGCCTGGGCTACAAAGTGAGCTCAAGGCCGGCCTGAACTGCATAGCGAGACCCTGTCTCAAAAAGACAGAAAAAGAAAAGATCATTCACCGAGGTGTAGTGGTACACAGTTGTAATCCCAGCACTCAGGAGGCTGAGGCAGGAGAATTGCTGTTAGTTTGAGGTCAGTGTAGTGAGTTCAGGACCAGTCTGAACTAAAAAAAAAATCATTAAAGCGTCGGAGAGGCTTTTGTTTAAATAAAAGCTAAATGAAGTCTTACTGCTATGGCAATATAATGAGTACATAAATTTATGTGTAATAAGAAGTAAGGTTAGAAACCTTTTTAAAGTATATTTTTCTTAATGCTTATTACTTTTACAGAACATTAAGTTTCAGTGTGATGCTCTCATACCTGGGCATATTTAGGCTGTCTTCATCCCCTCGTTCTTTCCCACGCCTCTGCCTTCTCCCACATAGTCTCTTCCTCATACCCAGCTGTAGAAAGAGAAAAGGTCAAGTAGCTAAATAGAGCCAAAGTAAGTAACTTTAGGCTGCAGGTGTTTTTAATGCCTTTCAAGCTTTCAAAAGGAATTTTAAAAAACCCAATGATCAAGCTAAAAATAAATTGTTTTCATTTGACACATTTCTGTGTGTTAGGAATGATGTTAAGCATTTTAAAGTATTCTTTATATATGATAAAAATGTCAGTATCCTTCCCATTTTGAATTTAGGAAACTGAGGATTAAAAGTAAAAGTAATTTGCCTCAGTTGATTTCATTAATAAATAGTAGAGGTTGTATTTGAACTCCCAGGATCTGAGGACTCCTGAGCCTAATCACAGTGAGTCTCCATCTGGGAGGCAGACAGATTTTTAATGTTTGCGCTTGTGTCCTTGTCCCGTCATCTGCTTCTGACTTGACTAAACACCATGAATGAAATCAGGAAGATGTCTAAAGAAATCTTTGATAACACATGGTAAACATTTTGTTTGATGAACATCTGAGCTTTATGCCTAGTTATGTACATAATCCTAACTATGGACATAATAGTTCCAGCTAAATAATATGGACTTGTTGATATTTGCTGAGGTTGAGGGATATTATGAAAGGCACTGCCTTCCTCATAAATATTTTCTGATTTGTAGGTTTTAAATGCACAGAGAGCGGGATACAAAGCAGCTATTGTTCACAATGTTGATTCTGAAGACCTCATTAGCATGGGATCCAACGACAGTAAGTACAGGTATCACTTTTCTTCTCTCCTGTTTGTCAGATCATTTGAAACTAAAAATGAACAGCATTTTCCTTCTCTTATTATCTATTTAAACAGCAACATTTCTTCTCTACTAGATAATTCCAAATTCTTAATTCTTTTGGGAAATATTACTCAGCTATAAAGAAAGATAAACTCGAGGCTTTTACAGGTAAATGGTCACAACTAGAGACCATACTCACAAGTGAAATAAACCAGACCTCCATGTGTAAGCAGCGTATTGTCTCAGTAGTGTAAGAACCTGAAAGAGTGAATAAAAATTAGGAGGTATGGTAGACACTGTGAAATGAAAGGAAAATGCTCAAAAGTAAAGGGCAGCTGGGGTGAGGGAAAACAGAAGGGAGAGAAGGGTAAATTATGTAAGTATGTACATATAGGATAGCTAACATAGTTGTACTACTGACTTCTTTTGCTTTACTAAAAGGAACAGTTAATGATGACTTATTTGATCAATCTTGCATGTCTTTGTTTTCCTGAGAAACCACTTTGAAGGTATCAATACGTAATACAACAACCATTATTAATTTCCTACCACTTTGTCTGTAACTCTGTATTGCTTGTATTGTTCTTATGCTATTTTGTAAATGGATATCTGTTTTTTAATATGTTTTCCTTCTTTTATTTTTAAAATAAATTTTATTGATATCTTATAAAACAACCAAAGCTTTAAGTAGACATAATCTGAGTTAAGAATGATATAGAAAAATATTTGTAATTGATTTAGAGATTCACAATATTAAATTTTAGAATGCATGGATATACTAAGTAGCTTTTGTCTGTCATCTGGTGGAATTTCAAAGCCACGTAACTTGTGCTATTCTGTGTGTTGTTTATTGACATTAAAGCCATTGACATTAAATTGACATGTCTATAGTTTTTCATTTGAAATGACTATTTTTCCTCACTCTCTGCTTTTGTTTTTCTTTTACTACATAGTATAGTATCTGTTGCTACTAAATTCCATCAATTTATATATCCAAAGTAGTGCTTGGAACAAAGAGTAGCCATAGAACTACGGAATGATTTGGTGCACTGAAATGCATTTAAGATCCTAAATAGCAGATATTTTATATTTTTTGATGAAATGTCTTCTTAGTCCTGAGGAAAATTTTTAAAGAATTATTTATCGCAGAGATAATGAGGCAAAATTATATTTAACATGAAATGAGTTTCTTAGTTATTTCATTATATTTTAAATTATTATTTTTAAGTCTAACTCATTAATCTTCATAACTGTAGAATCTATTAAGTGCCTCAAGATGTTCTAAGTATTCAGGAACTTTGACAACTACAGCATGGGGAAATATAAGACTTACATGAGGGGAGTTTACTCATCAAATAAACTAATACTGTTGGTACTCTACATGTTTCTCTAATTAAATTGTTTTTTAAGTGAAACATAAAAACAAAATTATACATATTAACATATATTGATGCATGTGCTATGTAAAGTTTCTGGTGTTTAATTCAGATTAACTTTATGTGTCTCATGAAACATTCATGATTTCTTTGTGGCAAGACTTTCAAAATCTTTTCTTTCAGATTTAAAAAAAAATTTTTTTTTGTTGTTGTTGCTGGGAATCAAACTCAGGACCTTGTTCTTGCTAGGCAGGTGCTTGTGCCACTGAACTATATTCCCAGCCCACTTTCAGATTTTTGGAATGTACTGTATAGTACATTATTATTAATTATAGCCACTGTACTGTGCAGTAGCACACCAAGATTTCTTGGTATGCTAACTATAAATTCGTACCTATTCCATCAACCTTTCCCAGTCTCTCCTTCTCTCCCACTCTCCCCAGCCTCTGCTAATAGCCATTCTATTCTCAACTTCTATGTGATGTCTTTCTGTGCCTGAGTAAGTTTACTTAACATAATGATCTCCAGTTCATCTATGTTATTATAAACTGATAGGATTTTACTTTATTTTTTTATATGGCTGAATAGTATTCCATTGTGTCTAGGTGTCACATTTTCTTCATTCATTCATCAGTTAATGGGCACTAGGTTGTTTCAATTTTTGGCTCTTGTGAATAGTGCTGTGATCAACATGGAAGGCCAATGATTCTTCAGTACACTGATTTCATTTCTTTTGGCAATAACCCAATACTGCAATTGCTAATTCTATTTTAACTTTTTGAGGAACTTCCATACTCTTTTCTTTACGGCTGTACTAATTTACATTCCCATCGGCAGGGTGCACTGGTTCCCTCTTTTCTGTGCCTTCTCTGGCATTTGTCTTTTTGCTAAAAGCCATTCTGACTAAGGTGAGGTGGTTCCTCACTGAGATTTTGGTGTACATTTCCCTGATGGTCAGGGATATTGAGCATTTGTCATATACCTGTTTGGCCATTTGTATGTCTTTTTTGAGAAATGTCTATTTGGATTTATTGTGTATTTTTAATCTTTTTTTTTTTTTTTTTCTGTTGTTGAAGTTTCTTATATATTGTCAATATCAGCACTTTGTATATCAAAGGCATTGATATCCAGAAGGGCACCGATATTCAGAATATATTGACATCACATATTTGTTTACTATGTTGATTATTCCTTTTGGTATGCAGAAGTAGGGCAAATTTGACATATGTTTCTTCTCCTCTTTTAAATATTACCTTTTAAAAAATTATCTCAATTTAAACATCAGAAGTTATAGTGAGTACCTGATCATATGGTTCATAGCCTTTGGAACTGGTTCACTGAAGGAGTTCGGAAAGGTTTGGAGATGCTGGCTGGAGAAGCAGCCCCAGAATGTTATAAACTGAGTTTGAGGAAAGACTCTCATGGTAGCTCAGAATACCTGAATTCTGACAGTAATGCCGCTGGCAAAGACCAGTAATAAGGACCCCATCAGCATTTGGACTCTAAATCATATATATTATGCTCTGTTGGAAAATTTGTCTGTGTTTTACTTGTGTCCTGAGACTGGTAGAATGAGATTAAGGGTGGTAGACTAATTAATCTAGCAGGGGAAATTTCAAGTTGAGGCTGTGGCATGGGTACTCTTGAACATCTCTATGTTGAGAATCAAGAGAAGATGGTGCAGATGAATGATGTAAAAGTTTTGAGTTTGACTAGAAAGTTGGGGGGCTGGGGATTTAGCTCAGCAGCGCAGCACCTGCCTGGCAAGCACAAGGTCGTAAATTCAATTCCTGGTACCAGAGAAGAAAAAAAAAAAAAAAAAAAAAGAAACAAAAAGAAAGTTGGACAAAGTTGGGGCATGCAAAGTTGGAGTAGAGGAGAGCCAGATTGCTGAAAAGATTAGCATTAAAAAGAAACCAAGTACTTTGGATTGAGACAACAGGAAAAATGACTTAAAGAGCATAAGAATGTCAGGAATCAGCAAGACCCTGCCAGTCACAGGGAGGCTCAAGAGTCCAAAAGTTAAAGACTTAGCTTGGAGAAGAGGGAGCCTCAAGGCATTGTGCTTGAGAAAAGCCACAGAGGAAATTAGCTTGCTGGGGTTCTGTTCACAGTGCTCAGCCATCCAGGCACTCAGAGGCCCTTGCAGCCATGATGCAATAGGGCCTGTCTAGTGCTGGAGCCAGCAGCAGACCTTGGTGCCATCCATGTGGTGCTGATGGAATGCAAGAGCTGTGGGATCATGGAGGCTACCACCTAGATTTCAGAAGAAAGACTATGAGGCCAGGCGGTGTGCCCCTGAAGCTGTGAGAGTGAAGCAGAAAGTATAGTGGAGACCCCAGAAAGTTGTGAAGGCCAGGAACATGAAACCTCTGAAGAAAGTTACAAGAAGCAAGTAAAGCCAGCCCAAGAGAGAGGCTCTGAGGGCTACAACTACCAGAAATGCAATACCAGTGCAAAGCTACCTTTGGAGCATGTATCTCACCATAACTTGCCTCAGGTGCTGGGTATGGAACTGTAAGATTTAGTGTTTGCTCTCCTGGGTTTTGGTCTTGCTTGGACTCTTAAATTCTTTCTATCCTAGGTTCCTCTCTTTTGAATGGGCAGATTTATTCTGTGCTATTGTATATTGGAAATGTTTAACTTTCTTTTGATTTTTACAGGGGCTCACGGCTAAGAGTTTACTTTTGTGTCTCAGAGGAGTCTTTGGACTTGGACTTTTCAACAGTGTTTGCACTAGTAAAACTGGCAACTCTTAGAGACAGACTGAAATTCAAGGGATCTGTATGAATCGTTTGGGAGCCAGGGGTAGAATGTTATGGTTTATATCTAGATGCCTCCCAAGAGCTTCAGTTGCTCATAGGCTTTTAAAAGGTAATGGATTGTAGGAGCATTATAGCTGGTTGCTCTCAGAAGTTGAGGCCTGGTTGATAGAAGCAGGTCACTGTGGGTGTGACCCAAAAGGTTAGATCTTCCTTCCTCGCTCTATGACTTTGCTTCCTCATGAGCTCTGTCCTGCTCATGCCATCATCCTGCCTTGTGTTGGCTGACCATGGACTATAAACATGAGCCAAAATAAACCTCTGTTTAAGTGCAGATGTCAGGCGTTGTGTATCAGAGACAAGAGAAGTGACTCAGACAGCATGCTGGACCAATACTTTTGTGATCTCTGTACACACATACTCTGGCCTGAATTCTAATTCACCTTCCACTAAAATTAGCTGTGTAAGTTTAAGTAAGTTACTTACTCTTCATGTGTTTTGCTAAAGGCCTTCCAGGGTTTAGTAAAAACCCTCAAGACCTTCTCAAGGGCTAAGTGTGTGTTGGGTTGAACAAACTGATTATTATTTATATACTGTTTATTATTTGGACATGTTTTCAGTGAAAGTTTAAGCTGAAATGTCAGTTCCCTTTAGCACCTGCTTTGTAGTACCAGTAAAACTTTTTGTGATAATTGTGTGAGCTCCTAAGGAGAATATATTAAATATTAAAAGTAACACATACCTTATAATTGTGCGTTGCTATGGGAATATTCCAACTAAACTGTTATATTTCAAAAATGGCTGAGAATTTTGGCTCTTGACTTTTAGTCCCGGGATTA